AGCATTGATCGAGAAGTACCTCGATGGAAACCATAACATTATGTGAATAAAAAGTATGTTTGATTAACTTAATTTAAAATTCAAGCTAGTCATTCATGCACGAAATGTTTGGATAGAAAATATGGTTCTTGAGCTTAAAAAAAGTTAAGCCGACCAAAACATTCTTTAATACTATTCAATGCACGTAAATCTTTTAGCCAACATTCAAGATCGTACTAGTCAATATTCTGGGGTGTCTCGACAAATCATTATAATATGGTCATATAGATGCATGAAATATTTTTTTTTATGAACTTAGTACAATTTTATTTTTTTTCTTTAGTAAATAATAGGTGCTATTTTTTTTTTTTTTTTTTAAATTTACCTTCTCCTTTTCTAGCATGTTTTCAGAAAAAAAATGTTAAATTGTATGAAGTTTTATTATACTATATAATTTTTCCCCCGACTATATTTAGACCAAATTGAGAATATTGAATACTCTATATTCATATTAAAGTTGTCATAACATTCCTAAAAATATGTATCGGATTTTTTAGAGAATTTTTAGGCATCACTCTATTCAAGGTTAATGTTCAAAACACGCTTTCAGCCAATTTTAAAATCTATTTTCTTTTGGAACCTTGCATTATAAAAAGTTGACTAGTTGACTTCATGTACCTAAAAGTTGTTTTGAAATAGTCTACTTTGGTTCTTTATTTATTACCCATTTAAAATAGCTAATTATTCATAATTCTATATACTTTAACTAATACCAATTTGTCCTTTGTATTAAAGTTTAATGAACTCCTTAACTAATCCATCACTTTGATCCTTAGTGCCCATCTAATTTCTTATATATAGTTGTTGTAAATTACAAGTCATATCCCCATATTGACTGATGTTGATAATGTAGATTTGTTTCAATAAGATGTTTAAAACTTGACCATTCAAAGATTCATTCATACTTCTTTCCAATATCCAATTAGCAAAAAATATAGATATACCGAGTGTTGAAAATAATATTTAAATGATACACATGAACTTTTTTAGCACACTATAAGTAATTTAATATGATATCAGAGCAAGCAAATATCGTCACCCTTTTTTATTAAAAAAAGTGTGCACGTAAAAGTTTTAATAAGCAAAATATATTCTAGCATGAAAATAATATTTAAATGATATATGTGTTGCTCTCTTTAGCAGTTTAAACTTTTAGATCAAATAGTTTAACATGTTATTTTAATCATTTCGTAGCCTAAGTAGAGATTTTATTATAGATAGGCCTCGTTTGAAAATGCTTCCATAGGGCATAGACAACTTTTGATTTTCAAACAATCACAAACAATTTTAGGTGTTTAGTAAAAAAAAAAAAACATTGTAGCATTTGCGCCAGATTTTAAGAAGCAGCAAAATGGTAGTTTCTCAAATTTTATTTTTGTCTTCTCTACGTATACATTAATAAATGCCAGATTTAACCTCAAGATTAAACAACCTTTTTTTGTTACCTAAGTTTGTTAGTATTCTACTTATATGGGCATTCAAATTTTATAAATTTTGATACTTAATAGATATTAATCTTCTTCCTTTTTAAATAACTATGATGAATATACTATCTTAAGCCCCTGTTTGGCCCCCATTATTGTAGATTTTTAGGGGGTTGAAAATTTTTAGAATAGTGATTGATGGGAGATGTGTGGTTGAAAAGTTTTAGATTTGTGTGTATTATTATTTTATTTGAAGAATGTATGGTTGAAATGAAGAATGAGAATGAGAAATTAACGGGTGTCAAACGGGGGCTATATGTCAGTTTTTGTCTCCAACAAATTGTTAGAACCAAGCTTGCATTACATAATTTTTTTTACAGAGANAAGTTCAAATTTGAAGTTTTATACTTCAGGAAGATTTGTAGCTATTTGAGTAAGCTTTCCAATGCAATTTGAATCACCTCAATCGGATATTAGAAGAGAAAGATATGACCAAAACATTGAAAGCTATCCAGTGGGAAAGTCACTCTACCGTGCGGCCTCACAGTAGAAACTACCATACAGCCGCACACATGCAACCAGAGAATCAAGAGGAGAGAAATTTTTGATCCATGTGGCTGCATGGAATATAACCATGCGGCCGCATGGTTAATATTCGGCGCTAATTGTTTGGTTTCCTTTTCTCGTTCAATCTCTTATGGAAAGGAATCTAGGGCATCTAGAAAAGCCAAAAGTCGTCCAGAAATGAGGGTTTACGCCACTTTAGAGAGGAAAACTCATTGAAAAGTAAGGAGAAGGAAAAATCAAGAGATTTCTACATCGAAGATTGAGGAATTCAATATTCATATTCAAGTTTTGGGTGATGTCTTTTCCTAAATATTCTTATTGTTCTTTATTTTTATTCATGTTAGACTATATTTTTTATATATTAGGTGAACAATGAACTCGTAATATAATCTTTTAATTCTCTATTTTGTAATTTGATATTCAAACACGATTGATGAATGTTGGATGATTTATATACACTTCCTTGCCTATATAGTTAAATGCATGTGATTATGTCAGTTTGAATAATCTATTTTATGCATTCGAAAGAAGGGAAACAGATTCTACAAAATATAAATCGCTATATGGTCCGATATGGGATAGAAATATACTGCTATGCTTTACGTGAATCTCTAAGTGTTTATAGAATGTCATGCATTCTTGTATATTTCATTTGTCATAAAAATATAGTCAAATGGTATGCGAGAATATGTTCAATTTTACTCGAAAGAGATTATTGGATAAGTTAGAAATATTGATTTTTCAACCAATTCATCGTATTATCGAATTGTAAAATAGAAGTTAAAAGTGAGCTTGATTGGTGATTCGGGATCCTAATGCGCTTTTCATTCATTAATTTCATCAAACTTTTGCATTCAACATAATTTTGCATTCATTTAATCACATTAGCTTAAATTGCATTTTAGTCATAGTTTTGTCATGAAATCCAAATAACCAACCATTTTAAGTTAATAAATTTGGTTAAGGCCTTGATAATAGAAATCAAATCAAAGCAATCATCGTGGAACGATACTCGAAATTTTATAATGTCCACTTTATTACTTGTTAACGAATCATACACTTGCGGTGATTTACAAAACGAACTTATTTTCGTGAACAATAATGCGTAAAGAGATTGTTATAATCAATATTCAATTTAGTAATTGTATACCACACAAAAATGAAAGCAATTTTGATTACAATAAACTCAATTGTAAAGATTTTGAAATGTACATCTCTTAAATGAAGGAGTACTAAACACTAAACTGATGTTTCATAACTAAATTCTTTCTTCAACATAGCTAAACATATTTCTCTTAAAATCTGCGCTACTGCCAAACCCAACCATAGTTTAGTTGTGGGACTGACGTCACATTACATTTCGGTACTCTTATCAAAATACATTGGCAAAATTAAATATTTACATAAATTCCTATGTTCTCAAATTAGGGCTCACAATTTTGATACTAACTGCAGCAAATATTAAACAAAGATTGTAAACACGGAGACGTAATCTGTCCATCTTGTTACATGCTCGAAAACTTGAAATAACGGAGTTCAACCCAACTAACACCTAGAGGGGGTGAATAGGTGTTTATACGGAATTTAAATTTACTAATTAATAAATGCAATACGTCACAGTTATTAATTAATCCGGATGAATTCACATGCATTACTATCCTATGTTGATTTGTCGCAGATAATAAATTACTGAAAAATAAATAACACTTGAAAATTGTTTACGGAGAAAACCCGTAACTAAGTAAAAACTCTGTGCCCAAACCAGTAAACAATTCACTATAAACGAATCAATTTACAGTATTGTCAGACTCGACCAATTCTAGTACTTTCCGACTTCCTGAATGTAATCACCAAAGCTCTTCTAAATTGTGTGCTCCAGCCCCAACTAGCTTTTGAATTCGTTCAATGACAATTCCTCATTATCCAACAATCGAAACTTCGGTCACCTTCTTCGATTTTCATAACTCTGATTGATGTTATGAAAGTAAGTGGTTTGGTGTTTGGTTTATGTGAATTTGATGTTTTTCAATGCTATGATGAAATCAATATGAAGGTTGAACTCTGGGAATGATATAGAGTAAGTAATCACTTGTTTCTCTCAATGTTTAACTCTATTTTTTCGAATGCTAGCGTCTATATATATAGTGAAGAGGTTTTGGGTAGTATGAGCTGGATAAAAATCTTGAAAAACCCGAATTAGATTTTCTCGGGATACACTGTCACTCGAGCAAAGTCCAGGTGACGACGAGCTACGCAACTTTTGTTTTTACTGCTCGAGCATCGGCTGGGCTAGCTAGCAAAATTACAGCGACTCTTTTCCCTTTTAGTTCATAATCAAACCCTAGGACTTGTAACTAACCACTTGACACTTTGACTTTTAAAAACTCTTTTGCAACAATAGTTTTGTCAAAAGATTGCCAACAATTTTAAAATCTAACAAACTGCTCATTTGGCATTTTGTGACAAAACACGTATTACAAATCAAAATTGATTCAATCTA